TCAGCGAGGTCACGTGACTAGTATCACGCCACCTCTTTCTAGAAATATCCTGTTCCTTCGTGAATTGTCGGGAGATTACTAGATTGGGGGTAGTCTGGTATATATAGGACCGGCCACGAAGCGACGGGGGGGGGGGTTAATGAGTAATTGAATGTATGCGGACAAAATATTGTTGGCCACGTGAGACGTGAATTATAGTGTTTGTTATAGAGCGACTGTTGAAATTCAGTGTATCGTAAAGTTGTATTCGGAAAGAATAAACCAGTTTTATTTAAGAAAGGACTTGTGTCGCTAATGTTTCGTCGGAACGAATTTACGGAAAATCAACTAACGACTGGAAGCGTAACAGTTATAAGAAGTAGTAGAAAAACTTTTATTTTTCAATTAACAATTTGTAGAAATGAATTAGAAAAAAAATTAAGGATGTGTAGCTGTTCGAAAACCACTGCTGATAAGAAGTAACCAAACCAAAAGGATGAAACAGGCATCGGACTACAAACAGTCAACAGTTGGTAGGAAAATGGTATCAAAAACAATGCACAACCTCTAGAGCAGTGGTTCCCAACCTTTTTATCACCAAGGGCCCCTTTTATTATTATTATTTTCCCTACGAACCCTTGCTTTTGAAAGATTCCGTCTACCCAACAAACTGTTTTTGTTAACTAATAATTAACTCGTTTTCCCATTTTCAATTATCAAATCGAAGACCTATATAACTGAGGGTGCAATTAAAAAAAAACAGTATTAAAAACATACTTGTTTAATAAGATCCTATCGCCTTCGCGGACTCCCGGTCTGGAACCACTGATCTGGAGCATGGTTGGAAATCAGTACAAGTTTGGGGCTGCATTTCAGCCACTAGTGTTAGTTATTTCAATAAAATTGACGGCACCCTGACTGCTCAAAAGTATATGCATTTTCTGATCTATTATGTCGTCCTCTCAGGAACATAATTCATTGGGCAGTAGAATTTATCTTACGGCAAGACAATGTTGTGAAACGATATCATCACTGAGTAAAAGAGGTCAATGGAATACTCACAACAATGGTTTGGCTTGCACAAAGCCCCAATATAACATTTCTGAGGATATTTGTGCTTATGGAAAATCCGAGAAGTCACAAAGTAACAACACAACGTGACTGAATTGGGGGGAAGTAATACATGACATTTGTAACAAAGTTCCACAATCGCACATGGCAACATGGAACAAGATAAAACGATCTGTAAAAAACAAAGTGTTAACACACAAAATACAAGTGCGTTGTACAACTTATTTGCTTTTCATTTGTACTTTCTATGATAATGTTTTTGTACCATTAACAAACAATTGCTTATTGTTTATGACTCCTATATGTGTATGATTTTTGTGCTTTCATTGTTATCTCTATTATTGTATGTATATGTGTGGAAGTGTTCCAATTTAAATAATTAACTAGCCATACATCACAAATTATCAAACACAAATTAGCAATTATAAACCATTTGTACCATAACACAAACCAGTAAAATACAGACAGTTACCTCACACTAACAGGTAGCTAGTTTTAAACTCTAAGTTACTAATAATTCATATATGCAAACACTTTACAAGCAACATAAATGCATACTCAGTTATCAGGCATTGCACACATTTTGGTCAGCTTATCAGTCATATATAAACTAACTCTTTACAGTAATGAAATAAATCAAATATTTTAAGGACCAATCAGCTGTTGGTATGCAATATCTTAAATACAGAGAGTTGAGTACATTAAAACAATATGAATATGCAAATCAGAAAGTCATGTGACAACCACAGCCAATACAAAGTTGCAGCTTAACATTTTGACATGTTTGATGTTACTTAGGTTTTATGATGCCACCAAATATTAATTGCTTTTGGGAAGAGTATGTAACAGCTGTTCAAGCTGTTGAATATATTAAAATACAGTATTTCTGTTGGTGTATATTTTACCATTTCTCTCTTCCTCGCCCCCCCCCCCAGTAGCACAGCTGCACATCTGCAGACTTACAATGTTAGAAACCGGGTTTCGATATCCATTGTGGGCAGACCACAGATAACCCTTTGTGTAGCTTTCTGCTTACTATAAACATTCAGTCAATCAAACTCTTTTCCTTTAACTCAAACAATACCAGATGCAAGTTATTTTAAGGTAAAGTTATATTTATTTAGAACAGAGTTGCCTATTTGGCATGTATTCCAAACATCAAGGTTTGTTTAAAAAAAAGGTATAAAATAGTCAACCAGTGTATGTTACACCAAAAAGCAAAGCATTAAATAACACATGTAAAATACATTTCTGAGACTTTGCAACTATAATTAACTGTATGTCATAATTTTGTGATTAAAACTATAACCAGTTTCAAAAATAGACATCAAATAGGGTTACAGTTTGAAAACTACAAAGCTAACGGCTTCTTCTTATAAGAAATAGTGAAATTAAGGCAAAACACTTTCATATGATAGTAGGTTACACAAACATCCTTGTCATTGAAGTACAGGTTTATTAAAACCTTTATGAATTGTACATACCCTGGTATTGAAGGTATATAGGTACAGCAAAAGAACAAATCCCTCACACTTTTGTATCCCTCCCCCTCTGTACTCAATGCTTGTAGCATTTTTAGCAGTTTCTCCATATTTACAGTTTGATAAAAAATACATAGGTATTGTCATTAAAAAGACAAATTCCTAGTGTGTGCAATTGAAAAATATTGTACAGTTACTACATCCTTACAAACATGTCAGTCTATTTACTATTATATTTTTTATATTTTGTCTGTTCTTGTAATAATGAACACTTTAGTTGAGTCAAAGAAACAATGTAAAACTTAAAATAACTTTTTTCTTTAAAAACTGATAAATATTCTAGTATAACTAAACATGCATCATAAAGTAACGTGTGTAAATCTAATAAAAATTGCTGAATTTAATTAACAAGGTTGGATCTATAAACCTAAGCAATGCCATTCAATACTGAAAAATCTGCATAATCATTAAGTTGTTTTTATATCAAAAGCAGTTAATTAGTTTATTTATTTTCAATAAGAAAATAATGATGTTTAAGCTTTTATTAAAATTTACCAACCAGAAAAATCATATTGAATTTTGTTTACACATATGAAACTATGATTGGTCAGTATTGTATGTTGCTAAGGGTCATAAAATTATCATCCAAAATAATAATAAAAAAATTTCCAAGATAATTAGGACTGTTGTCCACATCATAAACATTTCTCTCCAATACAGAATAACACACCTATGAAAACTGTGAGCATATACTCTAAATAAATAATAAGTAAAACTATATGATTTCCAAGCACTTCATTGTTTTTTCTTAAGAATATAGAATATGATTAATTGATTTATAGGTTTAATGAGAATTCTGACTTCTTTTTTTTTTGTATAAACCGTGATTTTCATTTATGGTAGTGATAGAATAAAAATGATCAGGTTACTTTATAAAATCACTATGAATGTAATAATTATAAAACTCTTTTAAACTGGAAAATATGCAGATAACTATAGATTGAGCTCTATGACTGTTTTATTATCTACTTTATTATGTGAATTGGAGATTCTAAGGTACATGACTTAAAGAAAGGGAAAACTGTTTCTCAATTTCATCTACAGGCAAATTTGTATTTTAAAAATAAGTTTAGAATATCATACTTTATGTATAATATCCCATTATTAAAAAAAATGTTCCAACTATGACTTTAATGGTTAGCAACCTTGCTTTTTTCACCTCACAGTACAGTATATAATAAAACTTTGGAAAACATATCCAAACCATATTTAAGTTATCCTATCAAAAACTAGGTGAATGCAAGAACACAATCTGGCAAACACAACAATTAAGCAATTACATACACTTTTTATTAAAAAAATAGAAATATAATATCAAGTCATACCAAGCTTAATTCGTTATTATTTACTGAAAATAAATCAAAAACTAAACAAACATTTAAAGGCAAAGTTCAAGGCAAAAGCTTGCACAGTATTTGTGTATGTAACATATGCTGCCTGAGGCCTGTACCAATCTAAAATTACAATAATATCTTAGACTAACCTATTTTCTACTCTTCTGACAGTAGCAAAAAACATCAGCTACTGAATGAAAATGAGAACTTGGTCAAAAACATTACAAACTTTACATAATTATCAAGTAACCTTCAAGGGTAAATTCCATAATAAATTATATATTCCTACATATGTTTTAGGTACCTCTAATCCTCTCTAATAATAATTTTTAAATTACTAGTAATTTCCTTTTGAAATAAAATGTCTTAAATAAAACCTTAGGATTTCATATATCTTCTATGCCAATTAAAGCTTTATTCTAGAATAAGAAATCTAACTTAGCAATAAAAGGATTTACACAAATAATAAAAATCAACTAATTATTATCATTTCAAATCAAATCAATACATTAAAAAATTACTGTAACACAACTATACACTTATAAAACACAAATTGCTTCACAAATTTTTCTGTGAAAAATTAAAAAAAACACGGGTGTCATGCATGTCCTGTCGACATAACTTTTACTTGTGATTTGTTGACACCAAATTTCTAGAGGTGTAATTTTCTGGGAAAGAAATTACAATCATATAACTTAGCTAGCAAGTAGAGTAGGAAATGATTGAATATGTAATATTCCTAACACTAGTCACATGAATGTGATACATACGTTAAAATACTTCTCAATTTTAGGTCTGTTTATAATTTTGGCATAAGAAAAAAGCAGTGTCAGTAATACAAAGAAAATGATTAACTTTCTTTTCTTCACAAGAAAAATTAAAATTTAAAACAAATTAACTACTTCACTTTCGTAATGTACCCTTGATATAATTCAGAACCACTGGATTATCTATTATACAGTAAGAGCTTAGATCTGAAAAAAAAATTACATTTTAGCTATTTCCAAAAAAGTTCATTGCCTTCTGGTAAAAAAACAAAAAACAATTTTGAACGTGGTGAAAAAAACCTTCAGAATTGTCAATCTTTTTCATGAATTATTTTCCATGTATTTATATATATTTCCATATATTCTTAGTAAAAGTTTTCCTGTGCAGTTGGAGTGACATTAAATTTGTGTATCATGTCCTTCAACTATCTAAACTTCCACTGTTTCCACACAGTTATCATTATTAAGTTAATTTCACAACCAAACTCATAGTAGAAACAAATTAACAGTCAATGAGGCTCGAGTTTCTTTACGCTGTCTGATATTTTTAACTAAGAAAAAAATTTCTCCTCACCCATTAGAAAGTTAAGTACATTATCATAGGGAACAGATCCCTTTTGCAAAACTTCTATCAAAAATTAAATCATTCTTTATTTCTACCCTACCACAAAATCAAGTCTATAAGGAAAAAAACCTTATTAGTTGATAAGACATTTTTAGAAGTCAAACACTAATTTCATTATGCTCAATAAACCCACTCAGATTATTAATTGTTTGAGTCATAAGGAATTAAGTGGTACTTTGCTCATAACCAGAGGATGTTTATCATTTTAAAGCTTCACACTTTGTTCATATATTAAACAATAAATTGTCATGATTGTAAAACATAAATTACTTGGATATACTTATGTACATAATCTTTCACCCCTGCTTAGTATCAAACTGAGGAATCAAAAGTTATCTATTATCTTAGCTTCATTTAAAGTTTAATTCAATTTATAAAGTAACCTAAACTGTCAAAAACATCAGTTTTGTTAGCTACTTGAATTACAACCACAAATATTTTATAGGCTTTTGTTACTGCTTTGTATTTACTTAAAAATAGATTAAATCTATATGTATTACTTCAACACATAACCAAATAAATCTAACAAAGAATAATGTAGAGCCATTGTGATTATACTGGTTATAATCATGCAGAGACTTACATATAATTTCATACAAATATAAAACTCAGAAAAGCAAAAACGTATATGAAAGAAAGCTCTCAAGCATGTCCCATTGCATTTTTATATAATAATCTAAAATAAGTTTCTTAAAGATTCTAACAAAATAATCCTTGTAGGAAAAAGATTAAGCCATAAAAGAATGACAATATGTCTATATACAAAGTCATGTCAAACGTCCTGCTCATACGGTTTAGCACAATTTTCTATGAAAAGTTTGACACTAGTCTTCATGAGTAGTTAAGGATTGCTGATCTTTCGTTTCCTATTAAGGTTATTAGCACTTTGTTTTTAAGCCATTAAAATTACTGCTTGTGTTTCAGCCATTTGTAGAAACTTTTATATCATATACACATACATACATTAGACTAGTTTTAAACTCAGGAATATGTTGTACGGTGCCCAACACAACTATGAAATATTTACACCATCTTAAAACATAAGATAAGAACAATGAGATTCAACAAAATATAAAAGCTTTTTTTTAAGTAACTGTAAGGTGTAATTTGTCCAATTTTTCTTCATTAAAAATACTGTTACAGAAAAGTTGTTTGACTGAAACTTGAAGCACATAGCATAAATGCATTAAAAGTGACTGAGAAACAAACATTTACAACAAAGAAGCTGTAAAGTAGAAGGGAGAAATGGATACTGCAGTTAATAGAATAGAAAGCAGCAAAACAGCTTCAGGTTTAACAACAAGATATAAAGAGTAGAAGAAGCTTCAGTAGTTTTCATCTTATTGAATAAACATGTGCTGTGTGTGTGTGAAGAACAAAGAAGGTTAGAAGAGGCCTTTTTTCTTTCCCTTTTTCTTCATTTTGCCATCCAAATGCCTGAAACACAAACACAAGGCTTTTCAGCATCTTAAGGCAACATTTAATTCCTACTCATAAAAGCCAAACAAGTTATGGGTTTGAAAGACACTATTTAAAATGCTATGAATAATACAGGTACAGTAAATAAAAATGTATAAAACAATTAAATATGTTACAAACTATAAACAGAAAAGAGGTGTTACTATATTACACCAGGTAGCAGCTAAACAACTGACATGCACAAATTTAAGAAACCTGTCGTGTTCTTTCTTGCAGACATCTGTCAGATCTGCCATCTTTCAAAATGGAACCTTTGAAAACTTTGGTCCAAGTGTGTTAAACTAGGTCTGCTACACAGAAGATGTGCTAAGCATATATTAATTGGAAAAACAATTCTGCATACATTGAAGTATTTCTTACATTAACATTTAAATCTAAAAAATGTCTTCAGTGTGACACAGAACTGTTAATGACAAACATGTAGGTAAAACTATGATAAAACTGACTCTAGGTTTTTTATTAACTAAAAATAATTAAATGCCAAATGCACACTTTGATACAATGCTTTAGAAATATTTAAGTATTCCTTCTTTACAGGCCATATGGCTGTGTATTCTCTTTAGACTCAAGTATCATTATGTCAGCAATTCTTCTTAACTAGAACATTACAAAAATATAAGATACAGTATTTATAAACTGTGTTCAGGAACGAAGTATTGAACTATATCCTTTAAAAACGGGTCACTAATTGAACATTTATTCTCATGACAAGGATGTTTGATGCACCATACATTAAGTTAGCTGGGTTGATGTAAAAAAATCTTATGTTATTAAAAGTATATATCAGTAAAAACAGGTTTACATATTGTGTACAATACTTTAATACAGAAATAAAATAATAAACTAAATATACCAATAAAAAATTGTATGAATTATACATAAAACTTAAGATGAAGATTTTAAAAACCCTTTACAACTCTATCAAAATAAAATATTCCAGTTTCTGACTTAATTTTTAAAAGTTACGAGACAAGAAATTCATGTGTAAGTTCTGGTATAACCACTACTGTGTCAGTGACTGTAACTTTTATTTATACACAAACAATAGTTGGTTTAATGATTTCTGGAATATGTTCATGAGCAAACAAAACATTTCCTTCAACTTAATGACAGAATTAGATTTAAAAAAAAAAAGAAAAGAGATTCTTTACACACCTACAAATAGAATATATTTTGTTAGAGCTTGAAATATTGGAACATTTGAACACTAATATTAAAGATCTTTTTAAGTTCTACAAATAGTTTCCATGTATCCTTATTTCTGAGGGAAATTTTTTTAAAGGAAGACACCATAACTGTGTTTGATATAAAGAGTAAAATTACATTCACAAAAACATTTCAAGTGTAACAGTAAAAAAAAAACAACACAGACAGCTGAAAATAATTTTTTGTACAGAAAAATCACCTTGAGCAAAGTCATTTGGCTACTACAGTATAGCTAGTAAAATATTTATCAGGCTGGTTTGGTGAATGAAACATTGAACATTTTATAGCTTTAAAGTTGTTTTTCTTTTGTAACAACAAATGTAATTTCAAAATGATGATTTATCTTTGTTAAAAAGTTACTATACATGATACAATCATGAAATGTCATACAAAAATTACATGAAATGAGAAAATACAAAAACAATCAAAGGTATATGCACAAAAAACTAAACTAAAATTCAAATACAGCATAAAAATTGTAGGAAATCACAAAAATATAGTTACAGCAAAAAAGATGCAATTAATACCACCTAAAAGATACATTTACCTATTACAAACTCATAAAGCTAATGAAGTCTAATTCCTTGTATATTTCTAGTTTACTTTGGGTTCTTATTAAGGCAAAGAGTCTTTCTATACCTTAAGACTTGTTGTGTTTTAAATAATTAATATAAATAGAATTTCAACTAAGACCTTACATGTTGTGACCCAACTGACCTGGTGGACTCTGGTATTGAGCAAATGGCTTTGTCTACAATGGTATACAACAGACATGGTATTGTTAAAATGCTGTTATACACTATTTGAGCCAGTAAGGCATGATGTCATTTAAGTTATTATCAGTCTTATTGAGATGTAACATTACATGTGTAATACTACTGATCTTCAACTTTTACAACTAGCTGAATTTATAAATTATAAACTATGTACCCCCAATTAATAACAAAAAGTTATGAGCAGTATACTTCAAGAGAATATTTTACAAGTATGATAGCTTTAATAAGGAATATAATTTTAAATCATTTGGTAGAAAAATATGTATTACTTTGCAGTGAAAACATTTACACACACACATAACATAATGGTAATAAATTACAAAAAATTACACTAAATATTGCTTGACATTTTGGCACATTGTATCTTAGAAGGTATACTTGCAGATATAAATGATGTAGTAGAAATGGGGATGCAAAGATTAGTTTAATTGGACATGAGAAAAATAATGAACCATACATCATCTTCAATATTTTTTTTCATCTTAATGCCATCACTTCTTAACTTCACATACTTAAAAAAGTTATATTCTTAATTTTGCAACTACTATAAAAGAGATTATTTAAAAGAGTTTCAAAGGAATAAAAAACAATTAAGTAAGAGGCATGAGAGAAGAAAAGAAAGGATTACCTTATGCTATTTATAATTTGTTTGCAGACACACAAGCACATATGCATAGCTTTAGCCAAGAGATTTTTTACAAAAACACAGTTGAGATGCCTCAGGTAACAAACTATCAATGACTTATTTTCTACTAAGTGTATTTGACATCCTCATGTACTAGTACTTACATTGCTCATTTTTTAAATTTCTTCCTACTGAATATTTACAATGTAACCTTAGATAGGTGACATTAATTAACTTGTGTATGTGTACTCAATATTTTGATTTCTTTGTGGTTTATGTGTGCAAATGGTAATTGTAAAGAGTTTACAAGTTAAAATCCTAACTTCTGATATCTAATAATAACATTAAGAGTTTTAATCATTTATGTTGTACCAATCAAAATAATGATTTCATTGAGTTGTATTTATACACATTACACATAATAGAGAATATTTACATTTTCATCAAATGAGTAAAACAAAATAAAATTCTATGATCTATGTGAATCCAAATGAAGACATGAAGAAAACTTTGGCAGTTTCTACCAGTAAGTATATTAAAATGATATCTTAGTAAAATACATGTCATTCTTAAAATTACAAGTTTAGGTTTGGTTGGCAATTATTGAGTAATCAAACAATTTCAACTAATATACATAGCACAAAGTTTTTGAAATCAAAAACCAAGCTTGCAGAATAGATTTAACAAATAACTGATGGCTGTTATTCAACAATATATTTGTGTCATAAGTGAAACATATAAATCTAAAAAACAAATAAAATAAATTTTAAGGATGATGGTTCAATGCTCAAGTAATTTTTCAGTAACTGTCAGCCAAAAATTAATGTTTTTTTAGTTTTACAGGTTTCTATACTAAATGTAGTTATAATATGCTTAAATCATTTATTCTTGGATTGAAACACTTCTAAAGCTATGAAGATTTATAACATCAAGAGTTAAGTTTTCCTTTTGTCAATGACCAAAATATTTCAAAACTCCTATTATATAAGTTTACCCTTTCAAATTTTGTTGTAATGATAAATATGCAGGAAAACCATACATTCTCCTCTCTGTTCAAATATGTACAAGAGTGCTCTTTTCACATCGTAATAACAGTGCACATTCAAACTTTAAAGAATTATCATTAAATCACTAGTTAATTTATCAAATGTATGAATGAAATTTTATTTCTTTTCAAAAACGCTCTTTTGAAGAATAGATAATATATTTATGTATAATTTTGAAATTAATTAAATATGATATATTTCATTTATACTACTTTAATCAATTTTAGCATATTATTTGATGGTAGAAGTCCATTGCCAGAAGCTGCATGGAGCTACGTAGTAATTTACATAGGGCGACAGCGAGCAGGAACTGACTGTGATAAATTCATAAGTGAGGAAGTTTTGGTTCTTCTTGCAACCACAGTCCTATAAATTTTCAAGGAAAGAAAATCCAGGCATAATCTTGATTATTCAACAGTAAATTGATTATGTAAACAAAAAACTGTTCCATCATGAGCTGATTTCTATCATTCAAATTTCTTAACATGAAAAAAACAAAGACATTAAAATCATTTTTAAGAAATCTACAATATACTAACACACTAATTTGTACTATTTTTCATTGTGATGCTATATTCTGATTTCAAAGTCAAATGGTTTTGGAAAAATATTTGAAAACAACCTAATGTCAGTAACAGTTTATTAAATCTAAAATCTTTACCAAACAAAATGGCTGCATTCAAGCACATTTTTAAACACACCTATAAATATATATATATATATATATATATATGGACTATTTTATTAACAAAAATAAGCATGATTCAAAAAGCAGAGAGTATTATTTAAAACTTTCATATTAATTGATAGCATCTATACATTGAAGTATAACAGTTCTCATTAGATGTTCTACAAAACTAATATTTTATGTGTTTCTTACTCTAAAACTAATTATACACGTGCAGTATTAAAGCTATGGTGCAAACCTATTAAACGTGACTGAACTATTTATGAACTTTCTCAATGCCCTCTATTCTCCAGCAACTGAAATTTACCTGTGTAAAAATCAGCGAACCCACAAGACACATTAAATAAAAAGAGAGTACTCTAGTACACTTCCTATAAAGAGCAATATTTATGTCAGCCTTAAGTCATATAAGCAAACATAGCATATCAAAGCTTTTTAAATATATACATGACTTGTTCTGAATATATCATGATTGAAAATTTACATAAAATACAGGATAGTAGTCAGGACCTTTTGAATTTACTATAAAGCTGGTCATATTTTCAAGGAAGATCCAGACTAGTACTGAAAACAACTACTGATTTTTGCTAGTTGACTAGTTTTTGTTACAAGTCATCTTGATCGACTAGTATGCATAAAATTAATAGAACTTGGTAAACAGAGAAATTGCATGTATCTGTTTTAGATAATTTCTTCAATATCTTAACTACAAAAGACAGAAAAGAATTTAAATCATATAATTGTTATTCAATCATATTATTTCACTAGCTCCACCAGTAAAGCAGCATTTTAACCAAGGTGAAAAACTTTAAGATCTATTAAACATACTTGTAATTAAAGAAGCCAATTTTTTTTATGATAGGGTGCTTAATGCTTTATGACTTAATTGCAAACATCCACTATACTGATCCTAAAGACAGTCTAAATATCTTTCATTTAAAAATTTTCATAAACATGTACAGACAATATAAAGAAAAAAATATATTAATTTAACTTTAACTAAAAATGGTTACCATAGTAAATACAGTAATTCTTGTTTTCATAAATGATAGGTGTATTATGCAGAAAAACAGATCAGCTATTTGAAGACATATGTAGATAAACATACAAAAATATTCATTATAAATTCTTGTTATTTTCCTTATGAATTACCTTTACATTGAGATTGAATTGTACCCTTGTGTTATAGTAGCTTTATCCATTCTTAGTTAGACACATAATAAAAAAGTTACATAAAAAACAGAATATTTCTAAATAAACACCATGCCAAAAATAAAAAATAGCAACTATATCATGATTAATTAACTAGAAACAGGAAGAAGAAATGTAAAAATACAGTCTTGTGGTTTTATTGATTTTTAGACATAATTTTTTAATAGAAGTAGACATTGGCTAAACTTAATTTCAAACCAAAAGAAAAATTGAAATAATAGGTTAAAATCTACAGACTTCAAGATAATACCTAATAGACAATTTTAGATGAGAAATATTTTGAAAAGAAAAAGTTTGGTAATAATACATAATCTTACAAAGCCGTCATAAAGTTATCAAAGGTTACTAGGTTTAAAAGTTTAGAAAAAATAATATAAAATACTATAATATAGAGCTGGATGATTAGCTGTATTTGATAATGTGATTAATCTTCGGGTTCATAAATCAATTACATTCAACTAATCATTTAGTCTCACGATTTCGATAACTGAAATAATCAGAAACAGTAATTCTGATTAGTCTTTTATTTTTGTGTCATGACACTAATTGATTAAGATGAACAACCTTAAATTATCTTAAAATTATAATTAAAAAATATAATGGCAATGTTTTTGATGACTTGGATAGTTAGAATAATTGAAAAAGTAATAATCAGAAACACTAATTGTAATTAATTGATTATTTTTGTGACATTAATTGATTAAATAATTAATGCTCATACATAATTCATTATATTAATTAATCATATTAATTTCCAAGTTCTATTATACAATATAAAATATATATATATATATATATATCTGTACATTAACATTCATGGTTTTTGAGAGACCATTTTTGAATTAATAAAAAGTAAAATGCAATAAAAAAAAACCTGCTAAGCCCAGTGCTTTCAAAATGTGCATCTTCCTTAATCTTTCCTGAAAGTGTGCAAAAGATGGATCGTTTTAATTTGTTTGCGAAACTGCTTGAATCTAACTTTCATTCCGTTTAAACTAGGTTAGCTAGAACTCAGTATTATTTTAAACTACTTACCTATAGTAGTCATTGGTTAAAGATCTAAATGGTTGCAATAGACCCAGATTTGATATAAATGACCCAAATTATATAATTCTTATTCAAAATTCATATTAGCACAAAAGTTTGGATGCAATCAAGACAGAATGAAACAAGGAAACTTACTCTTTGGAGTTTGTATCCACAAACATTCTGTGGAAGGAATCCTCTCCATTAGCACTTTCAAATACTATTTTCTCTTTCTCAAAGATTCTTCTTTTTTCCTCTAACTCTTGTCTCTGCTGCTCTAAACTTTTATTCATTTGTTCATGTCTACACTGAAGCTGTCAATGAGTGAGTAAATTGAACATTTTTTAAGTGTTAGTTTTTATATAGAAGTTGTCAAGGAATACAATAACTATTCTACCTTCATACTGGCTGTTGGTACAAACTAAAAACTTTCCAGTATTTGGTACTTCACGTGTTTATGCAGTTATTTTAAGATTGAAAATACCAATTATTTTTAATTTTTTATACACTGTTATTACTATTTCTCTTACAAAAACAAGTTCTGATAAAGGCTATTAGTTATTGTTAGATATATACGATTGTTCATTTTAACTTTAATATCAGAGTGTTATTTAGCTTATATTGAGCAAACATTAAAGTAAGTTATTTTCAGAAGCGATAATTATGGCAACTTGCTTACATAACTGTTCATGAATCATTTGTTGTGAATTTACATTACGTTACTCAAACCTTCTGTATTTTCCTCATTGCTTTAAGTGAGTATTGTTATATCATAGCATCTTGTAGTTTGTAGAAAGTTCTGGGCCTCAGTTGAATAATGTATATATATATATATATATATATATATATATATATAGGGAAACAAGTTAGCACAAGTTAAGTTAGTGAAAGTGAAATAAAGACATAGTTAGTGAGAGACATAGCTCTAGGCTCTGTGTTTGTAAGTTTAGCAGTAAAGAGCATATAGTGGTGTTTTTTTTTCTTTAAGTGAAATTATCACAGGTTGTATTGTAACAAACAGAGTAGAGAAAAATAATTTGTCTCGTACATTGAGTTCTAAAGTAACTGATCCAGCTCTGTATACAGCTGTGGTAACTCACAGGGCAAAATAAGTGAATTTATCACTAATTATATTGTGAAAACAGAGTAGAAGAGGTTAATTTGTCGTGTCAAAGGATGTTCTAAATTAATTGAATCTTCCTGTGTGGACTCTGACAAAAAGAGACAATTATTTAAAGCTCTGGATATAACTGTCATAAACAATGGTGTAATGAATTTTTTTTTACAAGTTTGGCTTGTTTTGAATATATTATTTTAAAACAAGTGGATTATGCACTGTCTGTTTATTGTTGAAATTTATCACCAACAAGTCACAGACACCTACTGTAAAAAATTAACCCCCATATAAAAACCTGACAGTTATTTTAAATGATAACTCACTATATAAACTGAAACTACTTAATTAGAGGATTAAGTTACAAATACTTTACAAATTCTTAAATATTAAACTGTATAACTTTAAATTTACCCAATAAAAGTATGGTCTGTGTTCAAACAATAGATAGCAAGAATATAAAAATTCAAAACATTTAGCATATTTTTCCAACAAATATATTTGTAAATTTCTTCCCACTTACATCTGATTCTGAGTCTTTTAGTTTCAGCAATTTTTCTTTAACTTTCATTTCAAAGACTTGTTCCATTTCCTTTTCCATTTTTTTCATCTTGAGATCATGTTCTTTCTTTTCTTCTTCCATCCGTGAAAGAGGGTTCCTAATGAACAAAGCCAAAAAGATTCAAACATTTTACTATTCAATTTTTAAAAAACATATCACACTTACTTTATTACAAAATTAAAGTAAAATCTGAACATAATAAACAAAGTTTGTTAACTTTTGTTTTGTTTTAGGCACAAAAATAAGAGATCATAGATGATTCACTTAACTAGTTTTTTTTTAAATATAATTAAAAACACAGAGCATTTTTGAATATTATTCATACTTTTAAGTTTTTTCCTTGTCTTATTTTGAGTGGGTAATAATTTTTAACATGTTATATTTTCTTGGTTGTCTTTGACCTATTATTTCTCATTTTACTTAATTAAAAATATATTCAAAAACAATTTCCAAACTTCTATAGTTCTAGTACTTTCTTTGCAATTTAATTTAATTGCACTATGAAGAGATACTTACCTCTATTGGATGTTTCTCTCTCTTGCTAATCTCCTTCCATCTTACTTTCTGCCACCTGTAAGCTTGTGATTACCTAAAATGTTATTCTGAATGGTTGTTTATGCTTGTATATTACATGGAGAAGGCCCTCTATTGCTAGAATGTTTTAACTAACCATCAGCAGTCATGCATTTTGCTATTTCATATGGTTACACTTCCTCTGACAATCTTCTGATCTGAGGAGGTGGGTTGGGACAGTTATAATAAAAGGATATCTTTGAGCTGCTTTTACTGTGAAAAATTTCATTTCAAATATGATACTGTAATACAACAATAAGCTATAATCCCAAATTTGGTAAAAACTGGACTGGAATGAAAAAAAAAAGGCCTTGAAAGATCAGCCTCATAGAATGCCTATGTGGAAAAACTACATAACTGAGGGGTGAAGATATTAATGCTGGTTATTTTTTCTGATAAGTTATATCACACCATATACACCCCATGGCAGGTCTCATGACAATACACCAAGAGGTCTAATAACCCAGTACAATGGCAAATCTTCAGTACTTATCAATGTAATTATCCAAAAATTGAAATCACAATTAGAGATATAGATTGCTTGTTATATTTCAAATTGGAAGTTGCCCAAAGGATGTACCATATTCACAACTATCAATCATACCACCTCAAAGAGCAGAATAATAGGTTCAGTAAATAGCATTCAAAAGCAACTGAAAAAGAAAAACTTCTAAAATATGCCCAAGAAGTTAAGCATGTATTGAAAAAAGGTGTTGATCTATTCAAACCTAAATCTAAGAGAGTGATATAAAGCACAGGAGGCTAATGCATTCCCAAGTAGGGATCTAAGGGCAAAGGTAATCAATAACAACAAGAAGAGGTAGACAAAATTTATCCCAGAAAAAAAATGGATATTTTTAACATAACGCATTGTGAAGGTGTATATTACCATGTCCACTCACTAAAGCTTTTCCAGAAGAACTCAACTTGCAACAGCTAAAAAAAAGCTAGATGTTTTTATCTGAGTAGAGGAAATTTTGAAAGCTTGATGCAGATCTTCCTAAATGTTATCATAAACAAAGAACGTAAGTCATCCTATTAGAGAAACAGTAGTTAGCTCTTGTGATGCAGTTCAAGTATGGCAAAACAAATATCTGTGTCACCACTAAATATGGGTTGTATAAACAATTTAGCACCATACAGCCTAGCAAAGCTAACTCTGTTAAACAAAATAACAGTAGGTTTGACATAAAACTCCTGTCCAGATAAAGAAAAATAGAACCACTTCTAAAAAAAGTATTTGTTTCATCAGCAGAAGGCATGAATTGCAAAAGGTACTATTGGTTTGAAAAGTTACAATTTAGAAAGTACGGGCAAAGAAATCAAGAAATGTCTAATAAGCCAGTGTAAGTTGATAAACAAGAACAGAATTAGCTTTTTGAAATTTGATTTTTGTTCAGTTAAAAGAAGACAAAAAGGGAAGCCAACACATTAAAACTGCTGTTGACACAGTCATATGAATAAACATGTTGAACAATAAAAATTACTTGGGACATACCAAAGTTGATCTTGTTTTAAGTTACGTTTGTTCCTTTGTTGTTCTTGCTATAGGTAATGTCTAGAGTTTATAGCCTCCCGTATGTTGTAATGAGAATGACAGTCAGATAGTAGTGCATGTCATTATAAGTAAATGAAAAGTTTTTTGGAAGGTGAAGAACCTGGCAGTTAGGTAATCTGGTACATGATCTTATGGAAAATAGTCTATAACCTGGTCTTGATCAAAACCGTCTGAGAAGAGCCACCGAGAGCATACATACACTGTTTTTGAGTTTAGCATAAAATAAAACATACATTTTGTTCTACATGTGTGTCCAGTCTCATTACTGTTTAAATTTGGCTAAGTTAAGTAAATGTAATATTCTATAATCAATATCTTGAACAAATCTCCAGTTACTTGGTTGACCTGTCCAATATCTTGAAAGTTAATTCAGCTCACTTGAATATTCCACACCAAGTAAAAGAAAGCAATACAATTTATGTTGGAATTAATGACAATTAAACAACTTGTAAAATATTTCAAATGGAGTTATTTCCATTTTTGGAGTAAACTGCCATATTCCCAAGTGATGGCAAAGAGTTTCTAGCACTAAAAAATTGCACTGATTTTGCCAAGACTTTTTCAAACAAGAACATACATGTAGTTTCATCCATTGAAGACTCTCAAACACAGAGCATACTAGTCACTTGAACAGAATCATATTATTCTATATGCAAAACCTCTTCAGTTTCAGAAAAAAGGAGTGTTATTACATCCCAACTGATTTTAGCAACTGTTTCCATACAGAGATTTTATATAACTTAAGCTTACAAATAGTAGAATATAAGGGTGTAACGTACAGAGAAAGAAATAAAAGGTCTTGATGAACCCAAGATAATTGTTTTATGTTATAACAAAGGTAATGTATTGTACGTGAATTTACATTTCGTTTGAGTACACATTTTAACTGCTTTCAAGAAATAAGAACATCATGTACACAAGCTCAGTAATTAAAAAAGTCTTAGCAATAAAAAGTATTTAGCAATGTAATAAAAATAAACTGACTTGTTGGGAATAGCACCTGGTTTGCCATCTGCTCCAACACCAGCAAGTTTTTGATGTCGATAGTTTTCATAATGAACATTGTTGGTAACATCAATAAGATCTTGCATATGAGTCCTATTGGTAGTCAAATGACTGATTATAAGTAACATAACAAATTAATTAAATTATTGCTTTCATGTGTTTTGATAATGCTTAAAACTTATTGTTCCCAAATACTTGGGAATGCTAAGTCTAGATTTTAAGTTAGCCCAATAAATAACACCCATAGAATATCCCATCTGTGATTTGGCTTGTTATTAATGATATTTCTAATATGAAAACACTTGAAACACTATCCTATTAAAATATTAAATCAGTTTATTTAGAACTCTGGTATTGAAAATTTAAAACAACAAAAAAGATTATGCAAGAAACATACAAGGCAGCTATTAATATGAGTCAGTAGCACTGGTGCTGGGGTCAGTAACATCAACTTACTTTGTATCCAGGATAACGTAGTTATTTTTCAGTGTCTTCAAGCAATTGATGTAAAAAATTATATATGAAAATTAACATGTAAGCCATAAGCTTGATTAAACATATTTGTTGTCATAATTTCTAATTTATAACTTTATCCTAGATGTAAATACGAGTAAATGAAGAAATTTTGAAAGCTCATTGATCCTAACGTCTATCAAAGAACAGTTTGTTTGTTTGTTTCAGCACAAAGTTACACAATAGGATATCAGTACTCTGTCCACCATAGTGAACTGAACCCAAGATTTAGTATTGTAAGTCTGTAAACTTAGTGCTGAGCAACTGGGGGACCCAAAAAACAGCTATCACCTTCCTATAAAGCATAAAATTATGTTGTTGTTTTTATTTTGTGATATATATATGCTTGTTTATTTCTGGACTAAACCAGTTTAAGAAGCATCCCAATTATTGACCTAAAACTACGCCAAAACAAAAGAGAACAAAATCTTTTAAAAAATTTTTGTTGCTGAAAACTGATGAAGAATGAAAAAAAAAAAGACCAAATTAATTTCTTAGAATTTTGTTTTTGTAAAGTTCACTGGTAGTAGTAATGTTATCTTTCCTAAAACTCTACATTAGAATATCTTAAAGTGAGTAAAAGAGGTTAAGAACATTATATAATTCATCAAATTCAGGTTTAAAACTGTTACAACAGCAGAAGTCGTGTGACGCTGGGAGCATGCGTGCTGGAGTTTCTCGAAGGATCGTGAATTATCGGGGAGGCCCAAGTTTGTTTGAGGCGCCCCTATTTTAGTATATAAGCCTGGTGAGAAAAACCAGTGTGATTGAAGAGATATAGATAGATCGGATTAAAGAGATAGATAGTCGAGTCAAGCAAACAGTAAGCACAGTAAGTAAAGTGTGTGAATCACTGTGATTTATAGCATGTGTTATAAAGGTTGTTAAGTTTAAAGTGACTGTGGAAATTCTGTGTATTACTAAAAGTTGTATGGAGAAAGAATAAACTGGTTTAATCAAGAAAGGACTTGTATCGCTGAAGTTCCTCAGAAATAATTTCTGCCCGAAATTAACAAACAAGCAGATACGTAACAAAACTAATAAATAAACCTTCAAAAGATAAATTTAAGTTATTTAGATGACAACTGTATATTTGTAATGACTACCACTAAAGTTATGAAATTCTGAAACATCAAACCATTTATGTTTCTCAAAAAAAAAAAAAGAACAATTTGCTTCAGGTAAGTCACACAAATAATAAGCAAACTGAACTGTGTATGTGGTTTCACTTCCAAATTTATTTGCAAGTTTTGCACAAAATTATGCCATTAGTATCTGAAAAACCAGAAACGTATTCTGCAAAGCCCTAAAAAGGAAATAATCTAGCACAAACGATATTCTCAATGACTTCATTTGATGCTCACCTGATCATCATATTTCTTAAAGCAATAAAATCACAGTGTTCCAAGTTTTCAACTGGAAAAGAAAAATAATCATCAATAATTATGATACACTTCTAGATATTCAGGAAATTTAAAAATTTACTTCCATTAAACTTTTTTTTTACTTTTAAAATGTTAATACATTTCTTAATATTTATATGAAATACTTCTATCTTATCATATAGAAACAGTTTATACTTATTACTGTACTTTATTAATTTTTGGAGACAAATGAAAAATAACATAACCAGCAGAGACCAAAATAGAAATAGTGCATGGTCTAATGATGCTGGATTTAATTTTCTTAGGTAAATGATTTCATTAATAGACATACATGATATATTTTATTTGTAATTATTTTAAACTAAAACAAATAAGTAATGTTTTCAAGTAAGTTAACTTGTATTATTTGTTTGTTTGTTTGTAATTATGCACAAAGCTACACAATGGGCTATCTGTGCTCTGCCCACCACGGGTATCGAAACCTGGTTTCTAGCATTGTAAGTCCGCAGACATATCGCTGTGCCACTGGGGGGCAATTTGTATTGTACCCCCAAAAACCAATGAGACAATTTTCTTTCAAATTTTTTCAGTGATAATTTTGCCCAATCTTTTTTTCTTACAAAGAAAAATTTAATTAGGGCTTATAATGCAAACGATCAGGTTTTAGATACCCATAATGAGTAGAGCACAGAAAGGCTATTGTGTAGCTTTGTACTTAAAAACAAACAAACACTTTTTATTATGTCTCTTCTTTTAAGATGCACATATGTTATACTCTAATCATGTGACATATGTACTTTCTATTATGTCGCTTTTTTGAAGACAGCTTACTTCCTGCTATACTTCAAGCAAATTCTTACTACACTACTACTTCCAACAGGATTACTTGCTGCTACACCTCACAAAAGTTGTTCATCTTGTATTTTCTTTCTACACATGTTTTCATTAATTCATACTACAGATATTCTTCTTTCAGTAGGTTATTTGTTGCTATGATCATGGTATATGTTCTATTCTGTCTTTACTGTCAACATTTGATCCCTACTTGTTGTGCATTAGATACTTTTTACAATGTTCAGCATTTCATCACTACATGCTGTACCACAAAGTTATTTTTTACTATTTTTGTACTTTCAACATTAGATTATGACCTGCTCTCCTTCATAGACATTTTGTAAACAATTTTATAGTTTCAACATTAAAACACTACCTGTTATACTACAGGCATAATTTCTGCTATATCTTTACTTTAAACATAATATTACATTCTACTATGCTCCAGAGATACTTTTTTACCTTGTTATTACATTTAACATTAGGCCAGTATATGTTATATTCAAGATTTTACCACACTCTAGTAAACAATGTAGTATCTTCATTTTCTACATAAAATTACTTTCTGCTATGCTCCAAGGATACTTTCTACACTTTACTTTCAACTTTATATCACTAAACAGAGATACTTTTTGTTATGTCTTAATTTCCAACATAAGAATTCTTGCTGCTACAATCCAGGTGTACTTCCTATACCATGTGGGTTTCTTCATGACAGGTTTACATTTTATGTGTTATGGATACTTCTTGAAGCGTCTTTACTCTCATCACACATTTACTTTCTTCTATAGGAATACTTTTTTCTTGTCACTTCTTTTAAGACAAGTTTACTTTTCACTAAACTCCAGAAATACTTTCTTCCATTTTTTCTTTTATATTTTAAGGTTACTTTCTACTGTGTCACTTTTTTCAACAAGGAAACTTTCTGTCATATTTCAAATATATTTCCATTGTGTCTTTTCTTTCATAGGTGGATTACTTTTTTTGCTATACCCAAAGTTTGCTTTTACCCATGTTTTTCTTTTCAATATATATATATATACTTACTTTCTGCTAAACTTTAAGGATGCTTTTCATAACTTTTTTTCAGTTCAGGCTTATCTTTAACTGTACATCAGATATATTTTCTATCATGTATTTTCTTTCATTACAAGTATGCTTATTTTATTATAATTTAAGTGTAAAAAAAACTAAATCAAACTAACATAGTTGTTAATGATAGTGTATGCACACAAACTAGGAAAAATGTAAGTGGGCAAGTGTCCCTTCTGACCTATGCATTGGCGCCTGTAGTTTCTGTCATGACCTTTTTCACAACAGATTGCTGTTATACTACAAGAATACATTTATATTTTGTTCCTTCTTTGAAGACAAACTTAAATTTCTATACTTCTGGGAAGCTACTTTTCTTCCAAGTTGAGCCTTCTATTCTGCTATACCCCTGGGAAGCTATCTACCACATCTTTCCTTTCAAGGTGGACTTTCCATTCTGCTATATTCCAAGGTATTTTTTGCTATGTCCCTTTTCCAAGGAAGATTTTTATTTTGCTTCAGGAATACTGTTTATCATATCTTTTCTTTCAAAATAAGCTTACATTCTGCTAAACTACTCCAAGAGCATAATCTGTAATGTCTTTTTTTTTCTACAACAAACTTCTGTGTAAATCCTGGAATGTTTTCTACCATGTTTCATCTATCAAGACAAGTTTCTGTGGTATACTAAAAAGATAATTTAAACTATGTCTTCTTTTGTTGTTTTGAGAAAGGCTTGTGCTTTGCTTTAATTCAGAGTTTCTTTTTTACAAAGCAGGATTGTACTTTGTTTTATTCAACATATATTTTGTTTCAGAACAGAAATGTAATTTGTTTTACTTCAAGAACATTTTCTTATAATACAGCCATGCTTTCTACTACACTCTAATAATATTTTTTGCAAGCCTTTCCTTTAACCCTTTCACTGTGGCTGAGACGTATTTGTCCCAGCCACACTGAATAGGTTAAAGAGAAGTTCATATTCTAAAAAATATATTCTAACATGTTTTTGACAACATAAACCTACTTTATATTACTTAAGGGGTGCTTCCTAAAATGTTTATCTTTTTAAGAGTTGTTTTTCCACCTCACCGTGTTCCCTACAGATACTTTTTCCAAGTTTATTTTAATTTTAAGAGAAACCTACCTTCTGCTATACCCCAGGGATACTTTCTACCACGTACTTTCTTCCCATTTACTTCAACTAAAGTGTTGCTTCCTACTACTGCAAAAGGTACCCATGCCTGAGGAGAATAAAATTGAATTCAATAAAAATGAATAAACAAACAGAATATCAAGAAATAATACGATGAAAATTTTGAAAATAGTATGAATTCTAAAAATATTGTTTTATTATTTAATTTTAAAGGTAGTTGAATATAAAATAGCTATATCTGAGGTAGATAAGTTAGCATGTAGTAATATATTTCTCAAGCATTCAGAATAAGGTTATTTAAAAGATGCTCTTACTGTCAACTTAAAAAACTCACAAAAACAGCAATCAAAGCGAGTCTTTGAAACAATCATAAACAAAGGCAATTTTCTGAAAAAATTATAATTTTGACATTATGTAAATATGAATATTAAATTACTTTCAATAATCCTCTCTAAAAAATATTATTGGTGCACAAATACTATTACTGAACCATAATAACATAGCCAAAATATTTTTTATTTGCATTTGTATAATTGATGTCTTTCAACTAACAATATTCAAGTAATATTTATCTAATGGCTTAAAAATAAAAATTTTTTATATCAATTAATACAAATTAAATTTTATGAAAAACAATTTCATTTTTACATATAAAACTACTCATGTTTTGAAAGATACCATAATAAGCCACTACATCTGAACAAATAAATACAAAAGGAACTTTATATAATTGACATTAATTACTTTAATCAAAGTAAATGTGTCAATTAATAAACATATAAAATTCTTTAACTTACTTTCATAGCCCTATGTACTTTGTTTTCTTCATCAGTGTCAAAGTCAGGAAACTTGTATATCTTGATTTGATTGTGTTCTATCTCATTTAGTATCTAAAGCAATAGTTATAATATCTGAAGTTAAATCTCGTACAGTA